CCCGCCTTAGGCACGAAAGCCAGCTGGGTGACTTTGGGCCAATCACCAGGAGGATGGGAGTTCTAGTCCCGCCTTAGGCACGAAAGCCGGCTGGGTGACTTTGGGCCAATCCCCAGGAGTCGGGGAGTTCTAGTCCCGCCTTAGGCAGGAAAGCCGGCTGGGTGACTTTGGGCAACGAGAGTTCTAGCCTCAGAGCAGCCTTTAATTTCAGCCCCTCCCTCCCCCCCCTCCCTCCCCTCGGAGGGAAACGTACCGTGTGGGGCTGCTGTGGGAAGCTGCCGGGCGATGCAGGCCGGGCCGTGTGAGTGTAAGCCAGAGTTGGCTGCAGCACGTTTGAGGAGGAGACCGAATGAAAAAAAAGGAAGAAAAGCACATTTAAAATGAGTTCACTTTCCACCACCTGGTCGTCTGCTTTTGACCTTTATCGCTGTTTCCACATCTCTGTTGTTGGATGTTTGGAAGCCCCGGCGGCCTTGAACCGCGAGACGGGGGGGCAGGTCCGTTGAATAAATAAAATAGAAATAATGTTCCAAAGGTGGTTTGGTTTTTTTCCCCCCTCCCCCTCAAGAGGCAACTGGGCTTTCTGGTTTTTGGGGGGTTTTTTTTGGCTTGGATGATGTTTCCCTTCTCCTCTGAGAAGCTTCCTCGGTTCTGACTGGGTGGCCGGGAAAGGGAAGGGTTCATATTCCTTGCACACAAGCTGGTCATTTGCGTCCTTTTTTTGGAGGGCGGTTGAGGCCACTTGGAAGTGGGAGGGAGGGCGGAGACAAACCTCCAAGTGGCCTCAACGACCCTTTAAAAAGGACGCAAACGACCAGCTTGTCTGCAAGGACTCTAAATCCTGACCTGGATGACTGAGAATCTCCCTAGACATGTGGTGTGTATGTAGGTATGTATGTGTATATATAGGGTCTCCTGCTTGAAAGGGGGTTGGTCTAGAAGACCTCCAAGGTCCCTTCCCCTTCTCTGATTCTAAAATTCTTCCTTCTTTCTTTCTTTCTTTCTTTCTTTCTTTCTTTCTTTCTTTCTTTCTTTCTTTCTTTCTTTCTTTCTTTCTTTCTTTCCTTCCTTCCTTCCTTCCTTCCTTCCTTCCTTCCTTCCTTCCTTC